TAATAATAATAATAATAATAATATAAAATACAAGTTTTCAAAACCGGCGTTTTTTTACTGTTCTCCAGGCTTTCTCCTTTGTTATTTGTACTCTACTTGAATAGTTGGATAATAATTACAAATCTTTGCGGAAACTGAGTTACTACCGTTAGGCAGATTAAGATTCCCGTTTTTCCTCCCCGCAAACGGCAAACGCGACCACGTTAACGTTTTCATCGTTTCCCTACAATTCACTTTACCTGTTTCGCAAACCTTCTCGACAAAGACAAGTATTCTTTKGTTTATCTACTACTTGGAGATTTTAGCGATTCCTTTTCACTAATTTTGAAGAATTTTTTAATGCCACGTTTGCCGTAAACGAGAATYTTAACTCTCTATCGTTGAACTGCGACCCTCAAAAATTGATATCTTCTTGGCCGACTAGCATTTCGAAGAGCGTCAATCAAAGAACTGAAAGAAAAAAACASACAATATTTTGAGGATTATGAGGGACATTTTGGACTGAATTAAAGATTTTAGAGGACTAAATTCTGATTCAGCCTATAATCTCTCAAGATAGTGCTTTTTACTTGCAGTTGTTTGATTGACGGTAGTAAACCGGTTTTAGTGTCGTTCATGCAAGCTGAGAACCGCGACGTATTACCGGACAAACCGGTTTCGAGACCAGATTTGTCAGGATCTACTGTGCTGCATCCGTCCGTTGCTGTCAGTCAGTGACGCGCGCGCTGATCAGAAGAATGAACCAGATAAAATTTGAAAATAAAAGAAAAAGTATGCTCGCTTTGCTCTATAGGGGAAGATCCCAATGAAACTGAGAACAAATGTGAATTATTAATGGTGACAGCGTTTATCTATAGCCATCAGATCAAACGATTACAGTACTCATCGGATCCAGTGATTCCCTGCTAGCAGAGACTCTCTGCCAAAAATTGCCAACAATTACCAAGAACTGCCAACGAAGGAAGACTCTGCTAGCAAGGAATCCAGCCGTTCGGAAGATTGGACAAGATATAGTAGCACTCTATGTGCGTGAGTGTAGCCTATTTGATCAATCAAAAGCATATTTGCATATATTTGTCATATGTAAGTTGCGCCAAAAGTACTGTATAGTGATCGTGCTAGTAGGTTCCTCGTCTTCCTCCGTTTTCAGTACAGTGAAATTTCAATGTTCGAAGTTTTCGAACGAAGGTCATTATGAGTCTCAAGTTCTAAATAACTTCAAATTCGAATYGAAGCTGGTACATGATTTTATAATATTTTTCACCGGTGGTCGAAAGTCCAATCAAGCATATAGTTAAATATGAATCAAGTAGTCAGAAAACAACGAAAAMTCAAATCGAAACAAAAGAAGTAATCTATCAGATAATCCAAAGCGAACATCCATTCCTTATTACTTTCATGGTATTGAAATTTGCAACAAACCCTATTTATATAAAGCACAAAACTAAACTGCTTAGTGGCAGTGTCTTTACCTTTTTTTCCATTTCAAGTTTTGATTAARAAATTTTACTGTATAAAAACATCAGAATTTTCAATATATAGTTAAAAAAATTACGATGAACTGACTTTAGAGGTCATTTTAGTCAGTTATATTACTTACCACGTGTCACAAGATTCATTTACTATAGAACTCTTCTGTACAAAGTCCAAAATCTTCACGTGAACACTTCGTAAATTAACATATCGCGATATTAGTATTAGCCAATCAAAATGAAGAGGACTTGTTATCTGTGATGTGATTGGTTCAAAAGTTCTGACGTCATATTAGCGTCTTGCTTGAAGACTTATTGGTCTTTTGATTCAATTGCTTCATTTTGCAAAATGGCGGCAGTGAAACATGTCTATTCACAATCAGTTAGTCAAGAAATGACCGCCCTTGAAGCAAAAGAACCGGTAAAAAATATTTTCCTTCTTGTCTTATGGTTTTGGCACTTTTTTAAAAAACAGGGAAGTTGATTTTAATGTTTTTTATGTTCTTTTCATTGAAGAAAGAAGAAAAAGCCGGTGCCATTCAACGAGACGGTGTGGTATCGTTTCCCGAAACCGACGATGAAAGTGAAGAATTTGATCCTTGGGCTTTACCTGCCTTCAAGAGCGTAGGTCCTAAGTGGTCAGGTAAGTAATTAGATAAAATTTTGATTTTTTTGAGATTAAAGATCAAAGAAAATTCTAAAATGCGGTTTTATTACTGTTTGCTCTTTTGTTTGATTACCGCCAAAAACCCGGCATTTACGCGCTCTTTTCCATTCACATTCTTACACGTGCTATTTTTTCTTTTTACAGAACTTGATGGATCCGGGAAAGTTAAGCGAGTTGCCTGGAATTTTACGAAGTTCATTCTACTACTATTCCTGCTTTACATGTTTATTTGCTCGTTGAGTTTCCTCAGCAGTGCCTTCAGACTCCTAGGAGGGAAAGCCGCTGGGGAGGCTTTTGCTTCTAACGAACTACTATCGAACCCTATCGCTGGCCTGATGATTGGATTGTTGGCCACGGTCTTGGTCCAGAGTTCATCTACTACTACTTCAGTTGTCGTGGCTATGGTAGCCTCTTCCAGTAAGTAATTGTTTTTTTCTATATTTTTCTTGTATTTTAGAAAAAAGTAATGAACCGAATTGAAGTTGGGAAAACGTTAGTGAATACTAGTGACAATTATTGATCATTAGAACAGAAACGGTTATTTAGTGCCCCTCGAGGGTGGGGGGAGGAGTTTGTTCTTATCATTGAAAATCGCCATTTCCTTTTCAGTTCTTGATGTTAAACCGGCTATTCCAATTGTGATGGGTGCTAACATCGGAACGTCTGTGACAAACACCTTGGTTTCCTTGGCCCAAGCAGTTGACAAAAATGAATTCCGACGTGCCTTTGCTGGAGCTGTTGTCCATGACATCTTCAACTGGTTGTCTGTCATTGTATTCCTCCCTCTGGAAGTGGTCTCTCACTATTTGTTTTACCTAACTGACAAGATAGTGAGAGTAATGAAAATCCAGACAGATAAAGGGGCTAATAAGGAACTCCTTCAGAAAATAACCAAACCATTTACCAAGCTTGTTATTCAGTTGGACAAGAAAGTTATCAAGAACATTGCCCTAAAAGTAGGAGAGAAATCAAAGTCTTTGATAAAAACTTGCAGTCTTAAGAAAACTGTTCTCAAGAATGTCACTGCAGAGCTGAACATCACTGGTACTATCGTGAATCAAACACTAGAAAGGAATGTGACCATCAATGAACCAGTGAAATGTGACTTTCTTTTCTCTGACGCTGGAATGAGTGACACTACTGTTGGTGTCATCCTTCTAATCATAGCACTTTTTATCCTTTGTGTGTGCCTAATTTGTATTGTCAAACTACTGCACTCCATGTTAAGAGGACAGCTTGCAGCAGTCATCAAACGGACAGTTAATTCTGATTTTCCCAAGCCTTTCCATCATTTGACTGGCTACTTTGCCATTATTATTGGTGCTGGGATGACCATTTTAGTGCAATCAAGTTCCATATTCACCTCTGCCCTTACCCCATTGATTGGAGTTGGTGTCGTTAGTATTGAAAGAGCCTATCCTCTCACCCTTGGTGCCAATATTGGAACAACTGGTACTGGAATTCTTGCTGCCTTGGCAAGTGATATTCAATCCCTTGACAAAGCTCTCCAAATTGCCTTGTGCCATCTGTTCTTCAACATCTCTGGAATTTTGCTTTGGTACCCCATTCCATACATGCGAAATGTTCCCATCAGGTTTGCCAAGTTCCTTGGAAACACCACAGCAGATTACAGATGGTTTGCCCTTGCATATCTAGTCTTTGGATTTTTCCTCTTGCCAGCCTCAGTCTTTGGCCTGTCGCTTGCTGGATGGCAGATTCTACTTGGCGTTGCAGTTCCCATTCTTGTTCTCCTGCTGTTCATTCTCATCACAAACATACTCCAAAGAAAAAAGCCAGCAGTTTTACCAGAAGTATTGAAAGACTGGGAGTGGGCACCAAAATGGACCCGTTCTCTAGAGCCTCATGACAAGGCATTAAGAAAGGCATATGAAGTGAGCAAAGGCCGTTGTGGTAATAAAAGAACTAGAGATTTGGAAACGGTTGTATGATGGCCCTTGGAAAAGTTCAAAGTACAGCATCAGCCACATTCATAGTCTATCATTGGGGTTTTACACAGTTATGAGTTATTTTGTAGACCATGATTTAAATAGCAATTTTATTTAACCCACGAGATACAATATGGGAATCGGAAGGAACCTACGTTAATTATTTCTTGGGTTAAGTAAAGTTTCTCTTAAGGTTTTAAGGTATCATTAGTTATTTCTTTAGTACAAAATTCAGATTAGCACCCATAAGCAATTAAATTATTATTACTATAATTTAGTATATTTATTATTAATGTGCCTTACATGTTCTGCTTCCTTTATAGGGTGGTGTGCATAATATGAAAACTAAAAAGAAAGTTTAAAATTAAATCCTTTTTTGATAAATACACCTATCATATTTGGAAATCTAATTTTGATCTTTCTTTTGTTTCATATTATTTCTGGTAATGTATTCATAAAATATCTAAATATATGATGAAAAAAAGAAATAAAATTTTTATTTAAGCCAAATTGGCTTTACATTAAATAGATAAGGTAAGTGGTATCTTATTTTATGTTATCCTATTTTATGTAAAGTGCAACTTAATGTTTTAATAGGAAATAAACTTTAAAACGTCTATTGTTGTATATAGGCATCCTTCCCTTTAAAATATTACATGTTGAATGTAATTATAATATTTTTGCACATTGATACTCCAGTTTGAGTCTAATTTTCTAAGCCTTAGCATCAGTTATGTGTTAAGAATATGAACTCAAAATTGAAGTATTTCATTATGATTTTTGGGGGGGGGGAGTAAATGATATCTAAATTAAGCATAGCTAATCAGATTTTATTTGCACCAATAATCATTTTAACTACAAGGATTCTTTGGGGGATATCTTGGGTTTTTCAAATGATTAAATCAGTATTTTGGCTTTCAAAATTACAAGAATTCAATTTTAGAGCCCAAGAAATTGTTAAATTTTACCATATGCATATRAAGCCAGTGTTTTTTTCTTTTGGGGTAGAAGCACTGACCTCTAAAAACTAGCCCTGATAGTAATAATTTGAATCACTAGGGTAAAGTCCTTAAAATATTTCATCCCAATGTATTGGCTTTCATGAGGATTAAAATTGATGTCCAATAATAAAAAGGGAACATTTGGGTTATTCCATGAGTTATTTTTAAGATTCCATTATGGTAGCTATGGCTTTATAATGTATATTAAGGGTGATTTTCATAAACCTGTGAAACAAGTGTGTAATATTGAAATGACAACAAAATAACACAATGGACTTGGGGTATATGTATTTGGCTAGTAAGTATTTTATGGGTTTATGAAAACCACTCTAACACGAATAGTGCCGTCGAAAAGATGATTGGATGAGGGAGGAATAAAAGCTATTCTCTGGGGAACATGCTAATTAGATAAGCATATTTTAATGTTATTTGCATTATTTAAAAAACACGTCGATATTTTTGCATAATCTTTGTTTTCTCGTATCTAATYTTTCATGTCCGTATTCTATTTCAGATCCAAAAAATGGAACAGTAAAGTATAATTGTAAACTCCCAGTGGCTTTTGCAGCCACTGGTAGAGGTTACAGTACATTATTACGGAGAAATAATTTCATGATAAAAGAAATGGATTAATCGTAAAAGAATGCAAGTGAACTCCCACGCGGGATTCCTGTGGTATTGAGTTCCTTGTTCTTATAAAGTCACTTGTACACTTTCAAGAGGAACAATAAAATGAATTTGTCTCTATCCTGTCTTGTTTGCCTGTTATATTGTTTGATATGAATAAATGCGAATACTAGATGTCGTGTGAAACTATCGATATACTTGATTTTGGCTGCGTTTGGCGGAGAAAAATAAATATAACGTCAAAAATAATGATTTCGTAGATCCTAGTATTCCTCAGTCCCCTTGCAAATTCTTTTTTCCCTCGAAAAAGAAAGACATAAAGGAATCGAACTAAGATAAAGCGACATGTCTGCTTCAGCGGTTTCATGAAAAAGGAGTGTCTTGTCTACTTTGTTCGCCCACACGGTTTGAGTGTTGTGACCATGCGCTGCAGCAAGGTTGGAAGTTGGGGCTTTTTTAGTCTCTTTCTCTTCAAATGAATACACTAGCCCATGTTTTCTCTATTGCCCCAGCCTCTTCGGTGATCTGAAAATAAATTAAAGCACACGGTCATTTTCACGGGGCCCTTAACTCAAATGGCACATTTTGATAGTATGAAGCTCAAACTAAAATTCAATTTTACTAGCACTGGCATTAAATAGGAACTCGTGGTTTATTTTTATGTGACGTGCGTCATTGAGTTTTCATTTTATTTAGTCTCACCGTCCTTCCAGTCGTCCATTGATCGTGCCTTTCGTAGTTTCTCAGGATCATCGTCATCTTCTTCTTCCTCTTTCTCTTCCTCTTTCTCTTCCTCTTTCTCTTCGGGCTTGGGTGGGTTCGTGCTTTTCCTGGAAAAGAAAAAAAGGAATAAAAAATGATATTAACTGATCAACCGGTATAGATATTCGCCAAGCAAAACTTTTATTTGAGTTTTAAAGGAATAGCAGTGGTCTTGCTAGGAAGGCAAGTAAATGGAAGTGTGGGAACGTTTTTAGTTATTATATTAAGAGATGAAAAAAGAAGATCTGGTTCCATGAATTTTAAAGCTTGGGTAGAGTGAATCTGGTTACCAAGGTAGTACGGTTTCATCCTTCGTTGAAATCAAAATCCCCATACCTCTCCTTCTTGAATCCCCTTTCCGAAAGGGATTCGATTAACGAAATTGATAACAAATAAAAGCAATTACAAACACAATAAAACGACAAGCGTAGCCACTGAAGTACGTTGTAGGTGTACACAGTAACTCCATATTGATAGATTGAACACACTAGATAATATAACGATAACTGAATTTTTGACACCGAAGTTTTCATTGTACACACATTTTGCTGACTCCTAAATAGAGGATCCTTGGGCAAGGGCACATACTTGACCGATAGTACACGTATATGATATAGCCTCACTTTTACACGAGAATCAGTATATCATCATTCACTCTTAAAAAATAGTAAAAAATGTACTTACGAATTGTAGTCCAAAACGACCTTCCCCTCTCTGATTTCTTTTTCCAAAAATTCTTCCTGAGTCATGGTGGGTACACTGGGATACCCTGCCCCGAACACTTTAGCCTGCAAGAGTCATTATTATTATTAATATTATCTTAAAATTATCATCGCCAGTCTTGTTCATAGCAAACACCGATTCCACGAATATATCGTATTAATTAAGACTAGTTGGGCAAGGAATACAAATGAAAAGTATATCTGACTTGGTCTGATTTGGTGACCACACAATTTTGTAATGATTGTTGGTTTAAATTGACTGACTGCTGGGATTTATTTAACTTCATTACCTTGATAGACTCTCTAGTTAGGAGAATAGGTTTCATAGGCTGAAATAGAAGATAGGATAAAGATGATTTAATGAACATTTCTTATTCCTCTTGTTTTATCCAATTTCAGATGGATTTCTTAGAAGTTCTGATCTACATGTAAATGTAAATATGTTCTTATATGAATCAATTTTCAATCTTCTAATCCTACCTTCCGAGGTGGTGCTTTATCTTCAGTTTTCACCAACCCTTTTTTCATATCTTCCATGTGGTTTAATATTTCAAGCTCATCTAAACCAAAATATAACATTTAGAATAAATATGTGGTTTTGCCTTTGATATGTGTGTTAACTGACTCCAAACATTATGTGGTAATACTAAATGTTGCTGACCAAGTTAATATTTCAAGCTCATCTAGACCAAAATATAACATTTAGAATAAATATGTGGTTTTGCTTTTGATGTGTGTGTCTAAGGTAACTGACTCCAAACATCATGTGGTAATGCTAAATGTTGCTGACCAAGTTAAATACAATGAAATGCACTTTGAACCCTTTATTGCTTGACCTGTGCTGCTACACATGTGTGTATGCATGAATAAAATTAAACTTGAATAATTTTACAGTTCACTTTTAATGTCATCAATTGAGAAAATAATCTCCAAAATTTCAGTAAATCATGATCCTGTTCAGTTTCTTTGATAACCCAGGAGCCTAAAGGTCAAGATTCTTTGTTCAAGGGTGGCAAACTAGAGAAAACACCCTTCAAGCATCAAGAGTAATCAGGAAAAACAATGTCATGTTAAGACAGGTTCTAGATCACAAACCTACTCCATATCATGGGTCAAATAGTTTTCTATTTCAATCCTTAAAAGCAAAATGCAATAGGGGAATTTCTAAGCAAATGTGTGAGTGTGCGGAGGGAGGGGAGGTAGGGATAAAACTCGACTGTCTAGATGTAAAGACACATGTAACCAGAGGTATTACAAAATGATACAATGAGTAAAATGCTGCCCTGTTTTCGTTTTTTCTTTCTCATACTACTACTTTTCTCAAACTTTAAAATATATTTTATGAGGTTGACCCCCCTCCCCAAGAAATACTATTATATTATCTATTTCTAACTGCAGTACTGTAGTTATAATGGTGCAATACCAAGACTCCTAATTTGTATAGGAAATCGTACGATCTCGAGTACAATTCAGAATTTATAGGTACAAGTGATGTTTAATTTTTGAAAGTTTTCAAAATTGGAAGAGCCTTTAGGCGAGTCCAGTTTGAGAACTTTCAAAACATCACAAGAATCTTTAAATTCCGAATTGTATGAGAAGATTGTGATTTTTTGTTTTTAAAACACTCAAAAAAATTGAGCAAAAATTGGAGAAAAGGAGACTCTGCTTGCAGGGTAATAGATAATGGACCCACAAACCAAGAACTAATAGTCACTAATAACTGGACACACCTTTTATACTTGCCAGGTGATCAATAGCTTTGTTTACCCAATTCTTAATCAGCAATAAATAATATTCTCTCTAAAATATAAAACAGTAAACAAATAGGTGAAAACTCTGAATTAAAATGTTTTGGTTTGCTGTTGTTTGTATGTAGAGCCCAACCATTGAAAAAGTATAAATTAAACTCCCAAGTCTGAAGTACTGAACCACGGCCATGACAGAGTAATGCACAAACTGTGGAGCAGTAAGGAGGGAGGGGCCAAAATGCTTAAAACTCTGAAGTACTGCATTGGGAGAGGAGGGGGGGGGGGGGGTTAACTTCCATGTCCTACTCCTTAGTTACCTTAGTCACTGCTACACCTAGCTCAACATTAAATCAAATACCTGGATTTCCTCATCAACAGGCTTCGAATGACTTCCTTCTATACTGTTTCTTAATTCCTGTAAAAGATTATATCTATGGTAACTCTCCAGAAAAATCAAAAACAATTAGAACATTCAAAATAGTAAAAACTTTGAATTCAAAAAGTTGGATAAAAACCATGCCATCAGACTTACTTTTAACCTACCCTCTTGCTGCTTTTGTTCCTTATACTTTCTAATTTTTTCCTGACGAGCATTGGCCATTTGTTTTAAGCCTTCTGCTCCTGGTAAAGGTGAACTTGTTGTTTCAGACACTTGAAAGACATCCTGAAAGACAAACCATATTGCATTCAAGGTGTTAGCTGACAGATTTTAAATAATAAAAGGGTGAGTAATTTAGTTAACTATTTTTCTTAAAAAGTTAACGGACCCCTTTTTTATGTTTTTTAAAAAAAAAGAGTTTACCCCCTCAAATCACCTAATCTCTAGGGACTTTGAACTTGAACATGTCATGAGGACACCGAAACGTTATCTCATTACAATAAGTTACTACCCGTAATATTCATTGTCAAACCAAATAAAATTTTTTCAAAAATATACCCCCCCTCTAGATTCACCGCCCTCCCTACAAGGTAATAAACAGTCCCTTGGGATGTAAGTTCTGTTCTTTTGTCCTGTCGCATCCAATTTTATTTTGAGAGGTGATGGGTCCTTCACCCCACCTTTTAAGTTTAGTTTTTTTAACCAATTCTTGTATCCAGACCCTTCTCACCAAAAAATCAAAGGCTCTGGTAACACACAAACCAGAAGACCCAGATTTCAGGGTGCAGATATGCGCATGCTCCAATTATTCTGACTTGCGGCATAAAACTGAACCATTTTTTTCTTCAAAAGAAAAACAATCAAGCTTATTAATACATTGTTTATGGAACAGTTTATTTGTCTGTGATTAACATTCCGAAAAAAAACCAATCAAATTAACGGTCAATTTGTGTGTTACCATAGCCTTCAATTTTTTGTTAGAAAGCTGAGAAAGCTTTGGGTTTGAGAATGTTGTTAACCTCATAAGGAATAATTTTTCTGCTACTTTTGTTTGTCCAAAATTTTCTCAGCATGCAGATAATAGCATATCTGAAAACTATATTTTAAGGATTTCATTAGAATCAAGCCCTTGGACTGCCTATGGATTTATTTTGCATAGTCAGGGTGAGATTCTTCTAATAAACATTGAATTAAAAAAGAAATACCTTACTAAACATGACAAAATGCTTTCTCCCACATTATTAGTTAATCAAACATTAGTATGCTGTAAAAGAACTAGTGGGATCATTTTCTTCAGTAAACTAAGAATCTCATAATACTACAATTTTGAGTTCCCCTTTGCTCAGTCTTAGCCTTGATTGTGTACAAATGTGTTATTTTCTTTCAATTAAAAGGTCCATTGTATAGTAAGGAATGTATTTACTGTACGTACTCAAGGGCGGATCCAGCCAAAATTTGAGTGGGGGGGGGGGGGGGGGGG